AAAAGACAGGGACAGTTGCAAAATCGGCAGAAAGCAAACTGCCATCTGCTGAGAGATCAGCTCTCTCACCTCCTAGTGAAAGCATCATCTAATTAATAAAGGCACTGCAGCACTCATAGTTAATATTCCTGACAGAGGAAGTTGACATAGAAGGCTTTCCTGACAAAAGAATTCGATAGAGAAGGCATTCTGACAGAAGATCAACGGAGAAGACACAGAACATTCCGGAAGATGTAACCTGGCTGTAATCTCAAGAGACTAAATTCTAAGCTTTCAAAAAAAAATTGGCTTATATAAGTGGGACTTGTATTTATTGGAACAGCATACCATTAGAATTTTGTTTTATTCGGGAATAGTTAGTAGTTGGAGGGGAATTGTTTGGTTTGTCAATAGTTCAGTTAATTTGTTCACTGTTAGAGTTAGATAAATAAATCGTTACTTGTTGATTATAGAGTGAGTGTCAGGAGTTTATTTCATGTAACCACTCCTTTTATAACAGATTGGCGGCGAGAGGCAGGTTATACCACTTCTCATACTTCTTTTAACAGATTATGAGGTGAGGCAAGTCTCTCTGGGTGTTTTGCTTTTAGTTATCAGAAGTGGAGTGGGGTGGGAGTTGAACTCTGCTTAATAACTGTGGTGATGGTGTTCCCATGTATCTGCTGCCCTTGTTTCTCTCGGTAGTAATGGAGTAGAGATGCAGTTGGAGGAGCCTTAATTAGTTACTGCAGTGCAGTTTGGATGTGTCACGTTTCAGTAGGAATAGCTCAGCGACAGTGCTGTCGTTTCTGAGCTGAAAGGTTGGAAGTTCAAGCCCCATTTCCGAGAATGCCGAGTCTGGTCTGCGCTGCCTCCTCAGTCAGAGATGCTAACTTTCATCTGTCTTGTTCACCTCCAACCAACATCACTGAATAGATTAAAAACAAAGCACTGCAGATGCTGGAAATCTGAAACGAAGAGAGAAATTGCTGGAGGATCTCAGCAGGCCTGGCAGCATCTTTGGACAAAGAAACAGAGTAAATGTTTCAAATGTCTGGTATTACCCTTCTTCAGAACTGCAAGGGGGGGGGTGCTAGAAAATGCTATTGACAGCGGGCAGAAAATTCAGAGGGAGACAGATTAGGTTGGGTGATGGGAGCAATGAAATGAAGATGGCCAATGTCACATTCTCAATGAAGCGATTAAATGTACAAGGAGAGGAGGAAGAGTATTGGAGGGGGAAATGGGACTCCTGCCCAAAAGAAATGGCCCCTCTCTCAACATCATAGAAACTCCATTTTCCAGCGCCATGCCATTCTAAACGCCAGACTCAAACATTAATTTTGTTTCTCTCTCCACAGATGTTGCCAGATCTGCTGAGTTTCTCCAGCATTTTGTCTTCATATTTCGCCAAACAGATTACCCAGTTGTTATCACGTTGCTGTTGGTGGGATCTTGCTGCGTTTAAACTGACTGCCTTGCCTCCTGCATTACAACAACAACAACAACAACAACTAAACTTCAAAGAGAACTCGATGGGCTGCAGAGTGTTTTGGGACATCCCGGGGTTGTGAAAGGCGCTACAGAATTGCGCACTCTTTCTCTGACACCTGTGGAGATTCGACAGGATCCCGTTCTCAAGACGAAGCGGGCGTGCGCAATCCAGCTGAGGAAAGGAGTCTTTTTTTCGCAAAAACAATACTCAAAAGCAAGTTGAGAAAAGCAGAGTAGGTTCCGCATCAACCATGGAAAAAGTGAAGAGGATTGCAGTGCTGATGTTACCACGTAATAACCACAGATAATTACAAAGACGGCACCATTAGACAAACAGGCTTTGGCCCTCACAGTTGAGGAGGAGACCAGAAAGCTAGAAACTCTCCGATGGGCGCATTCTTTCCATCAAAGCAGATGACCAGATGTTCGTTTCTGAAGACCGTGCTCCCCCAGATTTAGCACACATCCAAATCATCCTCGTGAGGTACACCAGGCACCAACCGAAACAAAAGCTTCAGGTTCGTGTCCCGCTCCAGGACTCGATGGCCCAGGGAGGTGCATTCATAACATAGTCATTCATTTGGAGTATCAACCTGCCAGACCCTCCGACAGGCAGCTGGTAACAGTGGGAGAGATTCCTGGAAGTGACATCCTTCTGACTACAGCCTCTGGCATCAAGCTGGTGACCTGTTCCAGGAAACATTAACTACGAAAACAGACACTAACATGTGCTTTATCTGTCTCCAGTATCTCGAGACATGGGATGCCTTCCCTGTTTGTGTCATTCTAACTCATGGATCTATACATCACGCACCCCGGATCAGAAATGCCATGATCAAATATACCGTAAACAATCTCTCTGTTTCAAATAGGTTCGCAACTGGGGGGATTGGTTAAAGTCTCAGCTGTCTAGAAAGTTAGATCTTTTTGGCTTGGCGTCAAACAACAGTGTGCTCATTGGGCCAACCAGTCAAAGCCAAAACCTTCATAAATAGAAAGCCAGACAGAGTGACTTACACTCGAACAATCACAGTGACAGCTCTTATTTATATCATCCCCTCACTGTCAGGAAACAGCCAAAGGTGCTTCATGAAAAGATGTAAAAGATGTAAAAGATGACAGACAGGCATTGACAGAAAGGATAGAACGCACAAATCTAACAGGACATCATCAGATAAGGTTAAAGGTTAGAAAAATAATAAACGGATAATCTTTACACTCTGTATGTTTATACATGTCACATTCAAAGCAAAACAGATGAACCGACAGTACGAACAGAAATGAATAAGTTCGATCTGATAGCCATTACAGAGACCTGGTGGCAGAATGACATAGATTGCAATCGGAAAATTGAAAGGTACATGATGTTTGGGAAGGACAGATAGCTGGAGACAAGTGCAGGTGTCACTCTGTTAGTTAATGGTGGTATTAGCATAATAGAGAGGCATGACCTAACTTCAGGGAATTAAAATGTAAATGATGTTGGGTACAGATAAAAAAAATGGTAAAAGCAAGAAATTGCTTGGGTTTGTGGTATACAGTTCCCTTTCAACATTAACCACACAGTAGGGATGAATATAAAGGAAGGACTGAATAGAAAGAACTTCACAGTGAAGGTGACTGTTGGTAACGACAATCATATTATGACTTAAATTTCCTTTCAGATTGATGAAGAGCAGAATGGGTCTAAGACTGGTATGCTAAACTAAGAGGACACACAAACAGAGCTATCTAAAGCAAACTGGCAAATTAGGTCAGGGAGAGGTCAATAGAGAGGCAGTGGCAGGCTTGTAAGAGGATATTTCAGAATACACAAAATAAATAAATTCCAATGAGAAAGAAAATTCCAAGGCGTGTACCCACTATCTACGGTTAATTAAGCAAGTTAAAAATAGCATTGAGCTTAAAAAAAAGCATGTAATTGTGTAAACATAAGTGGCAGTTCAAAAGATTGGACAGAACATAAATCACAGCGAAGAACGATTGGAAAATTAGTGAGCAAGGAAAATTTAGAGAGCAAGAGAAAACTAGCAAGAAACATAAATGCACAAGAGTAAGAGCTTCTATAGATATTACAGAATAGAGTTAACAAAGTGAGCGATGGTCTTGTAGAAGCAGAGTGTGGGTTATGACTGTAACTTGCAGAAAGTGAGAGAGAGAGGTTGCAGAAAGGCCCAACGAGGAATACGAAGCGCTAGATTGTAACTGCGATGGGATGGGATTTGGGAGGCAGCATGGATCAACAAGAATGGGGTTGTGAGTGAGAACGTTGTGGGTGAAAGACTGAATTTGGACAGTTGGGTTCTGGACAGGTTGAATCTTATTCAGGGTTCGAGGTGGGCTTAAGGACAAGGAGACACTTGGTGCGGTTGAGATAATGAGTGCATGGATAAAGGGCTGAGCGGCAGAATGGTCACTGAATTCCCCCATTATCAACGGCATTGGCCAGAAACATAATAATGGTGGGAGTCACAATAAAGGTACGCATTGCGGATGGATATAAATGGTCCCAACGATGATCACGATATGGGGCTGGAAATTGAGCTGAGCAATAAACGTTTGTTTAAAATGCCCACAACGATCCAGGGAAGTAAACCACTGTGCAATCACTGAGGAAGTCATTCATAACCTTCATTAGGAACAGAGACTACAATACACTTCTGACTACCTGACCTTCCAAAATTCATGTGCAAAAGAGTCACACCGTAGGTTTAACAGCCTGTAAGCACTGGTCTCCCTCTGCCTGATATGAAGATTAAATGTGATTCATACTTATCTGGATTCAAGTCAGTCCCACTCCGTGGATGTGAGCATAAAATCCAAGCTGACACTACGGTGTAACACTGAAGCTGTGCTGCACTGTCAGAGGTGCTGGCGTACAGACGAGATGTTCATCCCCGTCTGAACTTGCTATCAACGCAAAGCTGGTAGAAATTCTCCCTGGTCTCCAAGCGACTATTTATCCCTCAACCAACAGCCCTGAAACGGATTTCCTTGTCATGATCGCGTTTGACTGTGGGATCTTGCTGTGTGCAAACTAGCTGCTACGTCACAACTGTGACTGTTCTCCAAAAATATACAGCTGGCTGTGAAGTGCTTTGGGACATCCGAAGGTGCAGAAGGGGTGCTACATAAATGCAAGCCTCTATTTGTTGATTGTCTTCACTCCTGTTCTGAAAATGCAGCCTCAGCTGAGTGTAAGACCAAAACCAAGAATTGAGGATATTCCATCTGCTGTTTGCAGGGCCCCTTCTGTGTTAGTGGAAGTTCTGTCGTAGATTGGTACTTCAGAGAAAGAAAAGAAGCAGCAAGGATCTCAGAAACATGAAGCCAGCTGAGATTTAGTTGGGGTTGAACATCGATTGACAAGTTCTGACTTATTTTACTGTTTAAAATCAGATGGTTCAGGCAATTATGAATTTAACTCATTCACTCGTAAATTAAGCACAGGTAGCAACAGAAAACCATAATGGCCACCTGGAGTTCGCAACAGTGTACCTCACGCACTCAACGTATTTCTTCCTTACCGCTTGAGTTCCTCTTCCGTATCCACTCCCGTAATCTCCCGAAGCCTGCAAGGAAGAAAGGCACAAGTTACCCTCGATAATGCATCAAATCCAGTGGCGATGATGAGAGTGGTTCCTGAAGCTCTCAATGAACTAGTATGAGCTCGAAAACTGGCCAGGGCTGGTGTGGGGCACGAGCAGCTCCAGTGACCCTAGCAATATCCTGGGGTGGCTGACTGAAATGAAGAAAGGGTTAAAAACTGTGTAAAATGTGCTTGAAGTTTCGAAACTTACATCAAAAGAAACGCAGCACTTGAAGCTGGAACTTTGGAACAGGCTGCCATCTCATTTGGCAATACTGACCCACTAACTTGCAGCTGGGGAGGTTGTGGTCTAGAGGTAATGTCACTGGCACTAGTGGTGATGGGTTCAAATCCCACTGCTGCTGGTGGTATTTAAATTCAGGGCCGGCATGGTGGTTGGCACTGCTGCCTCACAGCGCCAGGGACCTGGGTTCGATTCCGCCCTCGGGCGACTGTCTGCGTGGAGTTTGCACATTCTCCCTGTGTCTGGTTTCCTCCCACTGTCCATAGATGTGCAGGTTAGGTGGATTGGCCATGCTAATTTTCCCATAGTGTGCAGGTTAGATGGATTAGCCATGGGAAGTGCAGGATTACAGGAAGGTGGGGGGGGGGGGGGGGGGGGGGGGGGGGGGGCGCGGTCTGGATGGGATGCTGTTTGGAGGGTTGCTGTGGACTCGACTGGCCAATTGGCCTGGTTCCACACTGTAGGGATTCTATGATTCTAAATCTGGTAATCTCAGTAATGGTGACCATGACAGCCATCATTTATTGGTGTAAATACTCACTAATGACTTTTGGCGAAGGACCCCCCCTCACCTGGACTGGCCTACACGTGACTCCAGACTAAAGCAACGTGGCTAGACTCATAACCGCCACCTAAAATAACACACAGTCAACGGTAGGCCATTCAAGTCTGTTCTGTAATTCAGTGAGATCATCGCAAATTTGATTTTAACTTCAACTCTACATTCCCAGATAATCCTCTTGGTAATCAAGAATCTAAGACATTTAGATAAGTACATGAATAAGAAATGGATATGGGCCAGGAGCAGGCAAGTGGGACTAGTTTAGTTTGGGAACATGGTCGGCATGGACTGTTTGGACCGAAGGGTCCGTTTCTGTGCTGCATGACTCAACCGCTGCCTCAAAAATAGCCAAACGAGCCACCCGGTTCGATGGTAATCATTGATGGCCAACACATGGATTTGCCAGTGATACCCACATCCCATGCAACAATGTTTTTAAAAGCTTCCTTCAAGCGAGAGTTGAACGTACTGACTGAGGTGGAGGGCTAGGACATGAGGGAGATTCAGTTAGGAATTATCAGGGTTGGAGTCACATCCCGGATGTTTTTATTGCCTCTTAGGGGCGAGCGAGATATTTTCCGGATTCTCTGCCCAAATCATCCCGGTGTTGTGTTTACGAGTTTGTCACCAGTGGCTGGCGATCATAATGGCTTCTGGTGCAACTCTCTGAAGGGCACGAAGGTCCTTTAGAGGATACAGGAGAGATTTGAGGAGATTGAGGTAAGATTCGACAGCTTTAGGTAAGGGAAAATGCTCCCATTAGCAAAGTGATTCACACCAACAGATCACAGCTAAGCTCGGCAGTCCTGCCACAGCCAGCCATGAGTGGAGGTGAACTATTAAATATCTCACAGAAGGAGGGTCTCCACAAATATCCCCATGTTCACCGATGGGGACCAGAACATCAGAGCATCAGACAAGGCTGAAATATTTGCATCCACCTTCAGCCAAAGATGCCAAGTGGATGATTCATCTTGGCCTGCTCCTGAGGTCTCCAACCTCACAGATTCCAGTCTTCAGCCAATTTAATTCGTAATACATCATATCGAGAAATAGGGAAACAATTAGAATACTGCAAAGACAACATTTTGGCAACAGCCCTGAAGACCTGCTCTCCAGAATTGGTATTCCCACAAGGTATGCCAGTACATCTGTGATACTGCATCCACCTGATAATGTGGAGGATTGTCCAGGAATGTCCCGTACACAAAAAGCAGGACAAATCCAACCTGACCACTTACCCCACCATCAGTCTACTCTCAATCATCTGTAAAGTGATGAAAGGTGTTTTCAACATTGCTATCACTGCAATAATCTGCTCGCTACCTCTCAGTTTGGGATCAGTCACAGTCAATCAACTCTTAACATAATTACAGACTGGATCCAAAGACGGACAAAAGAGCTGAATTCTGGAGGTGAGGTGAGAGTGAGAGTGACAACCCTTGACATCAAGGTGCTTTTGACTGATTGTGGCATCAAGGAGCCCTCGCAAAACTGGAGCCAATGGGAATCGTTGGGGGAAACTCTCTGCTGGTTGGAATTGTACCTGGCACATAGGAAGATGGTCATGGTTGTTGGAGGGTCAGTCATCTCAGCTCCAGGACATCTCTGCAGGAGTTCCTCAGGATAGTGTCCTAGGCCCAACCATCTTCAGCTGCTTCATCAATGACCTTCCCTCCATCATAAGGTCAGAACTGGGGACATTCACTGATGAGCACACAATGTTCAGCACTATCTGTGGCTCTTCAGTTGCTCAAACAGTCCATGTACAAATGCAAAAGAACCAGGAAATATCTAGGTATGGGCTGCCAAGAGGCAAGTTATATTCATGCCACACAAATGCCAGGGAATGACCATCTCCAACCACACAGAGTCACTGAATACCCCACTGCCAACATCCTGGGCGGGTTACCATTGACCAGAAATTGAACTGGACTATCCATATTAATACTGTGGCAACAAGAGCAGGTCAGAGGCTGTGAAAACTTCAGTCAGTAACTCACTTCCTGAAGTATTTTTTCTATTCATTTTGTGGGATGTGGGCGTTGCTAGCTGGGCCAGCATTTATTGCCCAACCCTAGTACCCTTGAGAAGGTGGTGGTGAGCTGCCTTCTTGAACTGCTGCAGTCCTCCTGCTGTGGATTGACCCACAATGCCATTAGGGAGGGAATTCCAGGATTTTGACCCAGCGATGGTGAAGGAACGGCGACATATTTCCAAGTCAGCATGGTGAGTGGCTTGGAGAGGGAACTTGAAGGTGGTGGTGTTCCCATGTATCTGCTGCCCTTGTCCTTCTAGATGGAAGTGGTTGTAGATTTGGAAGGTGCTGTCTGAGGATCTTTGGTGAATTTCTGCAGTGCATCTTGCAGATAGTACACACTGCTGCTACTGAGCATCGGTGGTGGAGGGAGTGGATGCTTGTGGATGTAGTGCCAATCAAGCGGGCAGCTTTGTCCTGGATGGAGTCAAGCTTCCTGAGTGCTGTTGGGGCTGCACTCATCCAGGCAAGTGAGGAGTATTTCCAAAGCCTGTCCAATATCTACAAAGCACAGGTCAGGAGTGTGATAGAATATCCTCCACTTGCAGTTCCAACAACACTCAAGAAGCTTAAAACCGTCTAGGACAAAGCAACCCAATTGTTTGGCATCACATCCAGAAGCATCCACTCCCTCTACCACAGACACTTAGTAGCACCTGCAAGTTCCCTTCCAGGTCCCTCACCATCCTGACTTGGAACTAGCTCACCGTTTCTTCAGTGTTGCTGGGTCAAAGTCCTGGAATGCCCTACTCAACAGCACTGTGGGTGCACCTACATCCCAAGGACTACAGCAGTTCAAGAAGATAAAACGCCACCACCTTGTCGAGGGCAATTAAGGATGGACAACAAAGCAGGCAATGCCCACGTCCTGCGAAATAACAATTTCAGCAAAAGGAATATGAGGAAGAACCTTTAACATCACGCATGGTAACAATCGGGAACTCACTGCTAATGAGGGTCCTGGAGGCAGAGATGATCAATGATTTCAAAAGGAAATTGAAAGGACATTTAAAAAAACAGAAAGGGTGCAGGATCACAAGGATATGGAGTTGCGGGGGGTGGGGGCGGGGGGGGGGGGGGGGGGAAGTGAGGTGGTGGTGGGGAGAGAGAACGGGATTAACTGCAGAGAGCTGGGACAGGCAAAGCCCTCTATTTTCTAGATCCCACTATCTCGCAGGGCTGCCCAATGTATTCAAAGACCCGTACAGCTGCATTGAGAAGTGGATAGGTTAGTCACGTGAAGATGTGGCAGCGGCAATAGTGGCTATATAAATGCACGTCTGTCTCTCATTCATTTCTGAGCCACGCTGTAAAGTATGATGGATGCTGGAGTGAAGAAACTCACATAATTTCTCCAAACTGTGATATTATAAACACTGTTTAATGGAGGCTGGCGATGTAGAGAGGACGTGAGGGAAAACATCTTGGATTTGACAGATTCCTTATTTAAGGTATTCCGGATGCAGCCATCCCATGTTTTTCTCACACTGTCACCACAGCCTCATCTGGATTCTAACACCCACACTCTTACGGTTTGATCTTTGCAGCTATCCCATAAACACGAGGTTACAACAAAGTCAAGATGCTGGGAGGAGCTGGAACTGCTCCACACTGAAGCAGTTGGTTCTGATTTACACATGTTATGTTGTGCTTCATTATCTCAGTTGTTTGACATTTCTGGAATTACATAACAGTCCAGATGTTCTTAAAAACCACAAGTACCCAACTGTAAGCCAGCTGTGAGGGGGCACTGCCTGATGTTAAAGGTGGTGCGTCTGTCCCCCGTGGTCCTATGAGATGTTTTTCCTTTTTTAATCATGTCGGGAACAGGACTGTTCAGCCATTTCCTGAAAGATGTTTATCCCATTTTTCCCCTTCAAAACCTGTGATCTTCACCACCCAGAGGAACAAGGGAGCAGATGAATAAGAACACCTTCACCTGAAAATGTCCCTCAAAGCTACGTGCCATCCTGACCTGGAAATATATTTCTTTATTGCCATGACTTTAAAATCCTAGAACTCCCTCTGTGTAACAGTGCTCACCTTTCACTGCCAGATATTAATAAACCCTGTAAATAGGTTAACACAAGATTCTGTACAATACTGGCTCTCACCTTTCAGATTCCACTCTGAAACTATTCTGAAGTTGTAGCATCTTCCAAAACATTTCTTTGGAGCAAGCTCTTCACCAATCTACTTGTACCCAACCCATACCTTAGAGGCACTGCTGCCTCACAGGTACAGGGACTCAGGTTCGATTCCACCCTCGGACGACTGTCTGTGTGGAGTTTGCACATTCTCCCCGTGTCTGCGTGGGTTTCCTCCAGGTGCTCCGGTTTCCTCCCTCAGTCCAAAGATGAGGCGGATTGGCCACGCTAAATTGCCCCATAGTGTCCAGGGATATGCGGGCTAGGTGGGTTAACCGTGGGAAATGCAGGGTTACAGGAACAGGGTGGGGAGGAGTGGGTGTGGGTGGGATGCTCTTTGTGGGGGGAGTTTGGTGTGAACTCAAGAGGCTGGATGGTCTGCTTCTGCACTGCAGGGATTCTATGATTCTGCCCGCTGCCCCACGACTTTCCATTCCATGTAATACAGGCCAGTGACTCTCATTGTCCAAATCTCCTCAGCCCCATTCGAGGTTCAAGTTATCGCCTGAACTCTGGGATGGCATCACAGGACCAACAGCTGGTATACTGTCCCTGCCTCCGCCGCATGTTGTAGTCCCTCATCTCTGGAGGGACACAGTGCCAGAGAGAATTAGTAGATTTTCCAAAAACCAGACTGAATGGCCCCGGTGATGTGATAAATGAATTTCAGGTCAGATGGTGCAGCTAGATGAAAATCCTTTTCTTCCCCTTTTATTCAGAGAACGCAGCCATACTCAAAGCTCCTGCTTACTGATCCAGTGATCCAGCTGTCTTCTCTACTTAAGCGCTCGAGGTACTTAAATAGACATTGCTCTGTGCATCTTAACAATATACAACTAGCAGACCATGAAGGTGGCAGAAGCAGAAATGGCTGTGAGAAGTCATTCATTTACAATTGAGGATAAGCGGGCATGGCTGAATTGAGGGACAAGGGGGATAGTGAGGTAAGTACAGAGTTCGATGAGCATACTGTGGGGACTCCAAGTCTGCTTTCAGTCGGGGTCATTTGGCAATCTGCTCTAAAGTTCACTTCCATTACGCTGCCTGGAACCAAAGCTCAAAGACAGATGTGGAGACCACAAATTCACATTAATCAAGCCGCTTACTGCAATTTTGGGATATCGTTACAAAGGAACTCTTAAAGCCTCTTAAATCCTGTTTATTCTAAAGGTTGTAGGAAACAATGATTCACCACAGCTTTTGCCAACTGTAGTTCCTTCCCTCCTGCTCTCCCACCCAACAACGCTCTGGGGAACTGACCCATTTTCGTTGCAACATACTCCATGGAGCTCCTTCCAGGCTTAAACTTCCAGCAAAAGCCAAAACAAGACAGCCCAAACATGTCACATGGGTTCAACGTTTTCTTGCAACTTTTTACGATTTGAAACAAGGTTCATTGAACACAGAACTGTACAGCACAGGAACGGGCCCTCCGGCCCACAATGTTGTACTAAACATGATGCCTAATTAAACTGATCCCTTCTGCCTGCCCTTGGTCCATATCCCTCCATCCCTTGTATATTCACATGCTTATCTAAAAGTCCCTTAAACACCCTTATCGTATCTGCCTCCACCCCCTACCCCTAGCAGTGCGTTCCAGACTCCTACTATTCTCTGTGTAAAAATAACTTGCTTCTCACATCTCCTTTGAACTTACCCCCTCTCACCTTAAAGCATGCCCCCTAGTTTTAGACATTTCAACTCTGAGAAAAGGGTTTTGACCGTCAGCTCTATCTATGCATCTCGTTATTTTATAGACTTCTATCAAGTCTCCCCTCACCCTCCGCTGCTCCAGAGAAAACAGCACAAGTTTATCTATCCTCTCCTTATAGCTCATACTCTCCAACCCCGGCAGCATCCTGGTAACCCTCTTCTGCGCCCTCTCCAAAGCCTCCACGTCCCTCCTGTAATGTAGCGACCAGAAGTGAACGCAATACTCTTAAGTGAGGCCTAACCCAGGTTTTATAAAGCTGCTCCTCCTGCTTTTCCCAAGTGGACGACATCGTTTGGAAGTGGCCTGGATCAACTTGGCTACACCAAGCGTAACCTGTGCCATCCAGTGCATCTATAATCTCCCCCACAGCCCTCCCGCAAGCATGGCTCGTGGTATTGCTGACGTGATTCTCTCTTTCCTTCCTTCTGCTTGGGCGCAAGCAATTGCTCCTGCAGCAGATTTCCGTCATGACAATAAACCACGAGTATCGAAACAGAAGGTGCATGCAAACCAGATTGGAGATTGATGCTACACAGAGCAAAGTGGGAATGCCGACACTGCAACAGCTAATAAAATTTACTGAGCTATTTATGATGTGCCACGAAATAGACCAATCCAGTTTCTCCCGTTTGTTATTTCAGAGTGATGGATCCACCTACCTCACCATCGTCATCTTCGTCACAGTAAAGCCGCGCCTCCCAAGGATCCTTCTTTACCTTCAGATCCGAGATGAAACCCTGGAACCAAAAGGAAACCACGAGATGTTAGGTTATGGATGGGACGTGTAACAGCCTGTGTGTTACTTAAAGGTAGTGCTTCTTCCTAAAGAGAATTAATTAACTCAACATTCTTTCTTAAAATTGAAGCTGCATTGCACACCACCCTATCGGATAATGTCACACAATCTCAGACTGGTGAAGAGGGAATCTAGTGTGAGATCCTGCAGGATCCTGATAGAATCTGTAATTCTGTCTAACGAGTCAATGTAACTTTCATCATGCAATAAACTACAGCTTATGGAAAATAAGTGCCTCTTCACTTTAAGACTCCACAGTGCTTTACCTTCTATAACTGCTGAGTAAATAAAATTATTCTGAGCAGAGGTCCAATAGGGGGCGCCTGTGGCACAGTGTTAGTATCCCTAACTGAGCCAGGAGCTCTGGATTCAAATCCCATGACATATCTGAGCAGATTGATTAAAGTAACGACGGCAGTCCCGTACAGCGGGTAGCGTCCCTGACTCGGAAAGACAGAAGCTCCAGATTTAGGTAGTAAGAACAGGAGGGATTCGTGGTCAGCCACATTGGAGCCTCTTGCATCTCTGTCAGCAGTTCTGGACAACATCCATGTATTGGAGGATTTGGTGGCGCAGCGGTAGCGTCCCTGTCTCTGAGCCAGAAGTTCTGGTTTGATGTCCATCTGCCAGGTGTGACAGAACACGTCTGAACAAGGGGTCTGAACAGGATTGTCCATTCGACCAATTGGGCTGGAGTAAATGCAAGAGTTTCAGAATGACGCACTGGCACCGAATGGGAGACTTAGGCCCATGCGCATCAGCAGCACGACCCACGAGAGAACCTGCCCACAGGCGGCATCCTATCCGCCAGTCACCTTCCCGAGGGCAATGGGCAGGCTCCTTCTGATGCCGCGCGCCCAGCTAGAGGGATATGGGGCAGCTCCGTACTCTCCGCGGTGCTCCTGGCGGGGGGGCTGCTGGGGGCAAGTGTGCGACCGCAAGGCCGTCTCGAAGTGGAGGAGCGCATTTACCGCGAGAAGCTCTTGGGCAGAAAGCCTATGGGCCTCTCGAAGCAGAAGGGAGGTAACTCTCACCCCGGCGTAAGTCAGTGATGCTGTGGCCCCTCTCTGGGAGATGGAGCCTCTATGTTCTGATAGCCTCCCTGGCCAAGCCTGGACATCCCCATGTTGATGGCAGGATTGGGGAGGGGGGAGCTGTTGGCATAATGCCAAAATTGGACTTAATGTGTTCCACTTTTGTTTCAATTGCCTGCTGCCCTCTGTGATAGAGCAGCCGATCCAGGCAACTCTGTGCTTCAAGGGTAAACTCCCCAGCTTCAGCAGCGTGACACCCTAAACGTGGATTGCCTGTTCTATCCCAGCTCCACACCCCCATCACACCTCTGATGCCCCCAGGTCCACACCCACGGGATCAGGAAAACTGGACCCTCCAAAGTAACATCTGCCCTCAACCTGACGCCAGCCTTTGTACCTGTGGGGAACTGGGCATCACTGGAAAGGAACAACAAGCAATGGGGGGGCAATACCAAGGAACAATGCACTCAGGGTGCCTTCACACTTTGTACAGGAATTAATTCCAGCTTGTCAAACTACTGGGAGACAGAAGCACCACAAGGACGTGTTCGCAAGTTGCAGAAAATAAAAGAAAACCCACGATTTTCACATTTCCTCAAAGTGCAAAATATTCAAAGCACGCTTCAGAGTCTCATTCTGATCGTGAATTCACGACTGTTTTAGCGCTGACATCTTTTATGTTGCTGTGACTCCTACACAGTGTTCTGACAGAAAGGGACCATTACTGAGGAAGGTCAGAGGTTGGAATGAATGCACTCTCTCTCTGCCACATTCCTTTCGCCTACAGGCAGTTGTCTGACCACTGAATCTCCAGGACAATTCATTTATTTTGATTTACTGCACACCAGCAATGAGCAGGACAGACGTCACCCACCCGAAGGTTTGTAATAGGGTGCAGGTTAATAAAATTGGGGTGTACAAGGGCCTGCTGCTTGTGGGGAAGAACGAACGGCTGTGAAGAGGTCAAACTCCGGGAGGGCTAGGATTGAGAATGGGAGGGAAGAGTGAGGAAGATTTGAGAGATTGCAATTGGATTTGACCCTTGGTGACTGACTAACATCATTATCGTCCCTTGAGTTCCAATTGTTTGCTGGTATCATTAACTTGCACCTCTCGCTGCCAGTATATGTCCTTGGACAAATCCGCTCCTGCTGTGCAAGTCTCCACTTGTAAATCCAGTTTGTGTAAGGTGTGCCTGCTGAAGAACACAGCCAACAGGAATCAAAATCAAAGGAAGCCCATACTGGGGTTTATAAGGCCCACAGTCTCACTGATTGAGGGCAGATGATATCATGGCAACGTGGATACAGTACATAGTTGGGATACTTTGAGAATAAAAGGATTACAGAGGAACAAGAGCAAATTACAAAGAATAGACAGTTTCAACTCATGGTCTCTCTGCTGCTGCAACCTTCATCTGTACCTTTAATACACCTATATATATAACCATACCAACATCCTCCTCACTGCACTCCCACATTCCACCCTTCACAAGCTTGAGGACACCCAAAGTTATTGTGTCCATGCCCTAATCTATTCTCTTTCCCTTATCACCCCCGTGTTCACCAACCTACATTAAGCTCCCATCAAGCAAAGCCTTGATTTTAAAATTCTCATCCTTATTTTCAAATCCCTCCATTTGCTTGCCCATTCCCATCTCTATAAACACCTCCAGCTCCGCAATTGTCTGAGATATCTACACCCATCTTGCATATTCCCAATTGGAACACTCCACCATGGGCTCTGGAACTGCAATCTTCCACCCGCCTGCATCTCTACCTCAGACATTTCTTAAAAATCCTGCTCTTTGACTGAACCTTTGGTCATCTGAGCTAATGCCATCTGAGATGGCTCAGTGTCATGACCAAATTTGATAGACAGACTTCATATGGAGGCCAAGTCTTTGGAACATCTTAGAGTGGAGCTCCTCTCGATCCAAGGCAGAAAGAGGAGAGCAGTTGGAATGTCAGAAAGCCCACACTTCCAGTGCTGGAGTTCAGACACTGAACAAGCTCCACTGAGGTCCCCGAAACCGCCTGAGAACATGAGATTGGGAATGAACAAAAGCTGCTCGTCAGTACAGAAAACAGAGCCGCCATGATGTCCCCCATGGCCTGTCGCAGGGATGAGGCTTCCAACAAACTGGTGCTCTCTGCATACGATGGGGAAGGGAGAGGCGGGTTACTGCTCATTGGCGAGCAATTTCAGGTGACGCTGCAAAATCAGCCCCCATTGTGACCTTAGACCCCGAGTTGGTTTCATGGAGACGGCGGCCATTATTGTTACTATTCCAGCCTGATGAGTGTTCCTTGGCAATGGGAATACGTAGGGAAGCACCACTCTATTTCCCCAGTCCCTGCCTCCAAACCAGTCTCCACTGGTCCGGGAAAATCTGTGCCACAAAAGAAAGCGAATGCTTCCTGTTTACTCTATCCAGGACACTCGTAACTTTATACTTTTCAGTTAAGACACCCCTCAGCCTTGTCTCGTTCCATTCTGGATAGTTTTGTTAATATTCAATGTTGACAAAATGCTCACATCTAATGACTGAGAGAGAGAAATCACAGGATACAAGGTGAGACATCATGTTAACGCGGAGAGGGGAATAATGGGTTGTAATGTCAGCATTGGAAATGCAGGGCCATTTCAGGGTCAACCAGGACAGCTCCGGTAGTGACTGAGTGTTCTTGATGTTCATTGGATCTGGTCTTTAAGAGCTGGGTTCTCCCCCAGTGAGCAGTGGGCATTTGGACAGGAAGAGTCTAAAAGGGAAAGGGAGAAACTGATGCTTGTGCTGAACTACAGAATTACAATCAAACCTTTATAAATCTCTGAAAATCTTTTTGCTGTCAAATTCAGCACACCTATCGGTCTGTTCCACTTCTATGGTGACGCACAGACACGGCTATATTGAGGGGGGAATTGCAATTTATATAGACGTAGGATTCTGATATACAGGCCCGTGCAGCAGCAAGCATTGGCTGAAACTGAGCTGCTCACCAATAGACGAGTCATATATTTCACATAATTTAAAATAGACATTAAATGTCAACAAATGAGTGTGTGAATGCCAGAGTGACAAGACACCCATGTAAACATTTACAGTGTTCTGTACATCATTCCGAGTTTATCTTCATAAACTATGGAGATGATGCCAATATGGAAATGGCACTTCACACATATGCAAGTGGAGTGCTTGTAATGAGTTCAGCCAGGTCAACCTCATAGACTCTGAGTTCCCTGACTGGGGCTATTAATCTGGTCCAATCAGGGAGCCCTGGCTGACTGATAAAAACAGGAGTGTCAGAGATTCTGCTCACTCTGAGAGCTGGCTCTGAGGGAGCTGGATCAGTGTCAAGGACTATGCACGTGCAAATAAAGAGTGGCCTGGTGACGGGGGATACTGGCCTCTGTGGAGCTATTTCAATGGTGACGAGAGAAAAATGAAACACCCCTGAAGAAATTCACTCGCAACAGTCATCTTTGAGTTGGGGCAAACTTTTCTGGCATCATGCCGTTATTTGGGAAGACTGACTTGTTCGATCCTGCTGTCAAAGGCTGTGCCCAAAATGTAGAAAGAAAGCGTTACTTTTTTCCAGGCAGATGTCATTGGAGCAGATGAAAAGCAACAAGTAATTCTCCTGACAGCTCGTGGACCCGCAGCTTTTTCGGTAATTAGGTGCATAACTCTCTCTAAGGCACCATATACTAAAATGTTTCTAGAGTTGACGGATTTAATTAAGGAATTAATGACCCCACACCTCCTTTAATTCTGTGTGAATAGCAAAGGTCTTTTCCCTAGGGTGGGGTGTTCAAAACTAGAGGGCATATTTTTAAGGTAAGAGGAGAAAGATTTAAAAAGGACAGGAGGGGCAACTTTTTTAGACTGAGTGGTCAGTGTGTGAAG